GTACAACGAGGGCGATTTTTGGAAGGAGAGGCGTAGCATCTTGCAGATGATTTGAAAATCGTCCACAGAAGTGAATTCAATTGGAAAAGTCAGAGATGACTTCAAGATAGGAAAACACACGTGACTGTTTACACATTTTTGTAACGCACTACTCATAAGGTTGCTGAAAACACCCCGACAGCCCACGACCGGTTTCGCACTTCCACTTGGGGCTCATCAGGTAGGCGCAATCCCCAAGTTTCCGTCAATTTTATGTTCTATTTGAACCCAAATTACACGAAATTAGCGAAATACACTCATTTGCCAACTAATTTGGCTTTTTGAGAGACTCACCTGGAACCCAGCTGAATCTCTCGTTTGTGCTGTTTCCAGGCAACTGATTGTGCTGCAACAGGCCACCTCATGCTTCTGTCGCGACGATATTCGAGATATCGCGACACATATATATACATCTGTACTGCACTACTCACAAGTGGAAACATCAAAACCGAGAGATTCAGCCGGTTCCAGGTGAGTCTCTCGAAAAACCGCATTGGTTTGTAAATGGGTGCATATTCGCTAACACGTGATTGTTCTTTTCTGACCTTTGTTCATCTGTCCGACCATGGAAGCTCACGATTATACTGATGTCATACAGGGCATGAGCTATTGGCAGTTCATCCTTGACGAAACCGGAGCTGATGAGAACGTCTAACCTTGGTACCGTCAAGAAGTTTATGGTGAACACCTGAGTCAGTGGATTACACGGTTTTCAAACATTTTATGCCTTGTCAAACAGCCATACCGTGTTAACAGGGGATACTGCAACACAGAGAAGCACAATACTTTCGGGCGAATGCTCTCTCGCCCTCTACACACACCGGCATTCGAAAATATTCAGTCTGCCTAAAACATTGCACAGTTTGTTTGCCACAGAAAACGAGGAGTTTGTTAGCGAATACTACTGAAGAATACACAATCCGTTAGACAGGTTCTGGGTGCAACCAGACGTGTTTAGAACCCCATGTGATCGGGCGCGGATGTGGTTGAGTGTTCAAACTACTCGCCGGGGGTTGGCGGATTTAAAACGCCCTACTGGATTGTCGTAGAATTCGCGCGGCTGCTTGTTTCATTCAGNATATATATATATATATATATATATATATAATGAGTTCCCGTATGCTCTGTGGAAATCACATCTCACAGGCATTCGGTTGCGATACTCTTTTGGACGCCTTCAAAGCCATACTTCGCAGCATTCGTCGTGAATTACGAATTGACATCAAGCGAGGAAGTTTGTGAACTCGCTGTACGGCAGTTCCGGCAGTGGCTAAACGGGCGTCTATCATCCGGCATCATTAGCGGTAACAGGACATCGATAAACACTGAAATCCGACCAGCATTTGGTCGACCCGCTAATACTTTCTGGGTCCTTTGAAAAACGTATCAACTCAGCACGATACAAACTTGCCGAAGCGATTGCATGACATTAAACAGCGCTATGCACGAACTTCAGTTCCCTTAGACGGAACCGCCCACAAGGTCGCATACCTACGTGACCATGCATATGCTGCAACACCCAAGCCGACTGACCTTGCTTCCAGCATCTCTGCTGTCCGAAGTAATCGTATTGAAGACTCCGGCGTAACTCATTCGCTCTGCACTGTCGTTGTATGGTAGAACTTCATCAGAACGAGGAGCCAAACAGCTAAAGTACGAACAAGCGTGAAACCAGCATTTTGCTGAACTGTGCCATAGAAATGACTGGTTTTGTGTGGGGCTATGTGCTTATATGCACAGTGAAATTAGTGAAACTTATGGCTTCCCTTGTAGGCTTCCCTTAGTGTTAAACAATAGATTCTGTTTGACTGAGGATATCCGGACTCTGGTAGTTGATCAGATGACTAGTGATCGTTTCGCCATGCTTGATGACTGGCTTGTAGCACACTCTGTAGGTAACGAGTGGGATAGATAGAGCACCCGAGCTATGCCGGAATTCGTTTAGCTCATTTTCTAATACAGTTGTGATCCTGCGCTTCGCTATCCGCGACGGTACGCACGACCGTAGTGGACAGGCCTGCAAATTCCCGGTTGGGTTTATCAAAGTTCATTATAGACCGATGTAAATTTTACTCCTTGCCGCGCAGCTATTTTAAGGTCGACCATAGCTCACAACCGACTTCGGGAACCACGTGAACGTTGGAGCGGCGAGCTTCCGAGATGTGGACTCGCGTAAGCCCTCCAAATTTTGTATTATTTCCAGTCTTGTAAGTTCACCACTTTCTCCTACGTAAACAGTGGCAAAGAATACCTGTGCATGCTGACGTGCACTTTCTCACCGGGGTAACATAGATGAAATACGATACCTAGAGTAGGTATCAGTATTGATATCTCATACTGGTGTACTGGCGGTGATTGGGTGGCGTTTGAACTGCTCGCTGCCTTTGGTGAGTGGTTTGAAAACGTTTCATCACCGCGCGAACAGACGTCAACAACACGTGGTTGGGTCGGTGATTGCTCCACCTATTGAGTTTCCGAAAACTAGTTAGTAACTGCGATGCAAACGGTCGTTTGGAGATTGGCTGGCATGTGATTTGATTGGCCCCTTCTGGATTTGGGTTGTATCATGGTCTGATTATCTTGGATCCGACTTGTTCGTTTAGAATCCTCATTGGAGTAGCTCTCTCTCTCTCCGTATTTCTGTTGGTCCATTTTTGCCTTCCTGCTGTTTGATTGGTTAATTGAAGACCTCCTTTTTTAGTAGTAATCTTTCTTGGTTTCGATTGATCTGTGCGTTGGTTCCTGGTTGGTTCACAGAGCGCGTTCTAATTGACTCAACTTTCATTTGTGCATGGGATTCCACGATCCATCTTCGGCTTTTGCGTGGACACCCGTGGTCCTGTCAGCGGTCGCGCCGACATTCTTTGGTTTTGAAAGCTTGGTAGACTTGGTCAATTTCACCGTGTCTGTTGATGTCTTGACAGTCATGCTTCCACAACTTCACGTTCGTTTCTTGTTCTTCCTTGAGCTAGAACATAAACACTGTCTTGGTTGAAGTTACGCCCTTCCTGAGGCGATCAAAAATAGGCGTTCGCGTTGGTACTTTTCTCTCTCATCGTCGGATTCAGTATTCATCACAGTCTTTGCATTGGATTTTGTGTATAACGCTGGCCTTCCTCGATGTAGTCAGTTTTCCTTTTTGGTTTTGTTGGCGTTTCTCGAAGTGTGATCTTCGGCTGGTTGCGACCTTCCGCAGTTAACTACGAAAATTCCCCGATGGCTTCCATTTGTGACATGGAGTTTGGTGGGCGACGTTTACTCAAGAACCTCTGTAGACATTGCTTGGCTTCCGGTTTGGATTCTGTGGTTTTGCCGTGCTTCAGTTCATCCGGAGTTTGCCCAGATACGGCTTTTCTGGGATTTGATGCGTATGACTCTCTTCTCTGCAGATCTCGGTGTCCGGAGGCCAGCCATCCCTAATAACTGAACATCACATCATTTGGACGGATGTCACGTACAGGACACGGACTAAACAAAGGCATGCTCTGATTGGTCAGGATGCCAGCCAATCCGGATCGAGCATCTCTGACTCGACGCTTCTCGCCCCCTCACGGAGATTCTGGCACGACCTTGTGGAACACTCTGTGACTACCCTATAAATACAGTTGTAATAACTTTCCTTTGTCTCCAAAAAGGGCTGTCTAGAGCTACCGTACCTTTTGATATACCATAGTGGGCGGAGCAGGAAGCCAAGGGACCGATACAGAGTTGCACTACTGTTCTGCAAGTCATAACACTCGGTTTGTAGTTGTACATTTGGAAATCTAGTGATGAGTAAGTCAAAGAATGCCATCATTCTGCTCTTCTATGGCAATTTATTGTCAGTAAAGTCGCTGTTGTTCGGTGTAGTTCACTGCTTTTGATAATGACAAATTTATCTTGACGTAAGGCTCGCTCCAGTATTCACATTTCAGTTTCCGCGATGAATCCGGAGACTGACAAGCCCTTTGATGCGCCTCTCATTTTCTTTCGTAACGATCTCGTTTAAATTCAAAATAGATTCTCAGACAGAGCTTGAGCAACTCAGATACGTCTTTTTTCTTTGGGAGCCCGTTTGAAATTCCGCTGCTACCCACTACTTCACCCACCATTGGTTCAGCTGAACTCTGGACTGTGAGCTCACGACGAACGATACCATAATTTCATCTTCCCTAGTTTGTGTTACCTTTGGTTGGTTCAAGAATCGTGCTGCATTGTCGGACGAGTGCATTGGTCGATTGCGAAGCTATTTCCATACGCTGGGTGACGAGAGTTACCAAGCCAGGAGAGATATTATATGGCCAAATGTAAATTGCTCGTTCCTGCTATTTTTTCTCGCATTAAACCGTAATTCCGCCACGAAATCCGCGATGGATTTACCCTCCTTTTGTACTCTTGTATGGAACTTAAATCGCTGGGCAATAATGAAAGATCTAGTAATGTAGATCGTAGACACAAGATCGTCCACTGGCAGTGCCGTATTTACGCACCACTTTATCAGCTCCCGCCAGCTCCAATGCGCAGCTAGCAACCGCACCTTCACAAATCGTCGGTGAACGAAACTGTGGCAGCTACAACCACTGTCCGACAAGTACGTGGTTCTTACAGCTGACAATGATGACTCAACGCATCTGTGAGTGTTACTTACCCTTCCACTCACCTTACTCCATCTCTGCTCGCTCAATCATTAAGACAAACTCGGTTAGATTCGTGAGTCTAGGTGGCCAACATCCCCACCGCAACTTTGTTCCCTAAAGGACTGCATTTGTGCGCTTCCCTTTTTGTGTTACTGATGGTCTTGTCCTGGGGGCTACTTGCAACTCGCCGTGAGCATACATGGGTCTACAGGCCTGGTCTATGAGACTGACGGTTAGTTCATTCATTGTCTTGAAGTGATGGGACTCTACTTTGTTAAAAACTGCGCTTTCTGAGGTAAGCGTTCATGCACCAAATCCAACGGTGAGCTTACACCTGTTCACTACCTGTTCGACACCTCATCTTCCTTGTTCAGAGGCATTTCGACCCCATGAGGATTTTTTTTAAAAAAGTAAGGTGCTGATAAGAGATTAGGATAAATTCTTGGTCAGTATTTTCATATACATGACGAGAATAGTATACGTTCAATATTCATACAATCTTGTTAGATGTCAGCGTTGAACTGGCCCAATAGATGAATGATATGTTGGTAGAATGTCTGCAGAGATCAGAAAATACGATGGAATAGAAATGCGACACACGCTGGAGAGCATCACCAGAAGAAAGTTCAAGGAAAATCGCAGAAAGATCTGGAATGTTCTGATATCTAACCGGTAGTGTGTGTAGTGTCGTGCATGTTGCATTGTCATTCAAGTTCGTCCGTTTGTTCACCTGAGTCGCTGATCCTCAGGAGACTTAAAGGTGTCTCGTAATTGACATCATAGGAATTTTCTTTTCCCTCCTCCTCCTCATCCTCTACCGGTGACTGTAAAGGTGAAAGTAAACAACACAGGTGTTAAATTCGCGTGATAAATGTTTTGTTTAAAAAACGAAATATTCATCATCATCGTCATCGTCATCATCATCATCATTATCATGGTCAGCATGACCTCAGTGTTCAACGCGGACGCTTCACTGCCGTACAACCATGATTGATTTGAAAGCCTGATTTTAAAGAAAAGAATAAAGATGGATGGGGGAGGGACTTAGTGCTAGCTTACCACAATCACCCCGAGGTGCCTACACCCTATAGGCATTCACTCAGGCGATCTGGATAGAAACTGACAACAAGAAGAACGCCACTGACATCGGTTGGCAGCCATAACTTGTAGTGGCTCCCACCAGGTGCAGTGAGGATCACGCGGTCCCCGTCCCGGAAGGCGAGTAGTACCGACAGCACCCAAGCGTTCTGTGAAATGTCGATCGTATTTCCAACTAAAAGATTGCAGCACAAGATGGCTGAGTTGAATTCGTGTACCACAGACCTCTAAGGTCACAGAATAGCTCAGTTTTTGTCGATAAAGACAAACAAATTAGTTTGCAACTTGTACTTTTTATCGGATCATTCCATGAGGGGTGCAAAAAACAGCTAAGACCAACCGAATCCCATTTGAGCTAATGGCCATGGTGTGTGTGTGTGTGAGGGGGGAGAAGTCTCGGGTGCGACCGACATGGGAGTCACGTTATTGGCGGTTAGAGAGTAAAGTTCATAGGTACACCCTGTCCCTAAGGTGAGATTCTCATGATGAACATCAGGTATCATGCCATGCACAGCCCATAGAATTCACATTCCGGTTTAACTGAATTCCCAGCACTCCCTTTATTGCAAAGCACCCGCTTCTCATTTTTGGGGATCTTAAGGTCCCCAGTTCGGCACTTTGCAGGATTGTCCCTTCATTTCTGCTCTAATCACTCTCAGTTGGTGAAAAAGATACGCATTGGTTCGTGGATAGGAAATGTACTATCTCGTTTTAAGTGCACTTAATGGCCCTGTGGTGAGACTGAACATTGTCACGGGACATCGGTTGGGATACTCAAACAAAGCCAACCAATGTTTCGCGAATTCGTAGCCGTTCCAAGAAACCAGAGTGTGGGTCACGTGCCTGTGACTGATGGAGAAGGTCGACATACAAATCGGTACTTCATTTGCCCTTATCCCGTTGTGCTTTTTATACCAGCTGACATTAGGCAAATTCAGATAGACCTAGTTGAATACGAATGAGGAAGGATGCAACGGAGGGTGAGCTGCGTGTCATTCGTGTTTGCTACGTGCTCCCTGAGAATGGTGCATACTACTGATGGGGCGTGCTAGTAACATATCTATTCAAAGTAGTTCACAGTCTCACCTTTGCTTCTAATCGACGGCTGACTGAGCCTTCCAACTGTGATTGTTTATCTATGTTAACTGTTCACCTGGGCATAGTAAATTTGTCAAAAGCTGTGTAACTCAGGCTTCTGCTTTCCTGTATTGGTCATGACAACCTGGACTGTCAGGGCCTCGTGCCTCCCGCAGTCGATTCACGATGGGTGCCGCGAGTACGCTAGTGTCAATCGCCGGCGTTGAAAGTTGATCTCGGTCAGGGAACGGCAAGAAGCAGGATATCCAGACTAATGTAAAACCGGAAACCGGTAGGAAAGATTTTTGTAATACACTACTCATAAGGTTGCTGATAGTCCACCGACCGCCCACGACCGGTTTCGCCCGTTTTTGGGCTCAGCAGATAGGCGCAGTCCCCGGGATTCCGTCAACCTTATGTTTTACTTGAAACCAAATTGCACAAAATTAGCGAATATACACTCATTTGCAAACTAAGTTAGTTTTGCGAGGGACTCACCTGAAACTCGGCTGATGTGATGTTTCCAGGCAATTGATCGTGCTGCACAGGCCTGAGGTGAAGAATTTCCAGTATCCTTATGAGTAGTATATTACGTTTATAGTTGTGTGATTTGTGTTTCTGGCAAATAATCGGAAGTTTCATGGTTCGAACCCGATCCCTGCCTCTTGACTTCCCCTGTCTAGCCGTGGGCGACCTGGCAGTATCACAACCCTGGTTTCAAGTAGGACATAAGTTTGACGGAAACTCGGGGACTGTGCCTACCTGATGAGCCCGTAGAGAGGACGAAACCGGTGGTGGGCAAAATCAACACCAATTGTTGACTGATTACACATCATCATGATCATCATCATCAAAAACAGCAACATCAGTTTTGATACTGATGTTAGACTAACCGTAAGGTTTGTCTAATTATATTTAAAGCCCCAGAGTGGGCGAGGATGGCGACCAAGTGTTGGCCTTTGTCATGGGTTTTGAGGTATCTACACATCCAGACGCTCAATCAGACGATGTCGTCTGCATGCATACACAGGCACGAGGTTAATGTTCACACAGTTCAGCCCTGTTAATGGTGTAACCTTTGGTGGTCGATTCATTCGGCCATTCGGGGGCTCCACTCTTTGGTGGAACTTTCTTCAGTGAGACAATCAATACTGGATTGATCAGTTTCATACCCTTCACTTGTGTGTGTGCCTCCATTCAGATTCGCTTTAGTCGGCAGAATGCATCAACTCACAGTGATTGGGTAGATTTGAACGGGCGCATGGGTATACCCCTCCGTCATTTTATTATCCGTGAAGGAATTAAGTTGGGGTAACTATCCGGATGTAAATTATGAGTTTCGGCGTTTCGATGTGGGGAGAGATTCAGTGAACGAGATAAATTCATGCGTAACCTGGCCGCTAACTTCGATATGAGTCCATAGAATTGTGTGGAAAATAAACATTTTTTCCTCATCCTGGTGACCGGTGGAACTTAACATCATCGTGGCTGGTATACTATGCTTATCAACACTGAAATTCAAGAGTTCATTGCACGCGTCGATGCTTGAAACCGGTTCAACGTTCGTCAATCGAATTCGGCCCTTCTTTGAGTGACAAATTTCAAACGGAACGGAGTTTCAGACGTCCTGAAAACATATTCCGGAGAGTGGAATTCCAGCCACAATTAAACAACTCACCGTCAAAGATGCGGTTCTTGAATTCAGTTGTCTGGATCGAGAATTGACCCCACTTGCATCGGATATTCCATCATTCGGTGATCTGGGGTGTTGTATTACGAAGCTGCGTTTGTTTAAGGCTGCCTGAGGTGCGTCGACCAGTACTGGTTTTCTCTGTAGTGGGCCATCCGGCAACGCTCGCCTATCATCGGGGACTGTGGACGGCTCCATATTTAGCCACCGAGAGGATGAACCGTCAACATAATTCATTCTAAAGTATTTGGAAAGTGGTGTGTGAGATTACTCGTAGAGCAAACACCGCAATTTCACTACCTGGGTCGCTAAGGATGAAACAGATGTGGTGTGAATAGAATCACCTGGGTTCCTCGAGATTCCCCCATGAGTTCGAGGCAAAAAAGATGATATTCATCAGTCTGAACACTGTAAAGCGTGTAAATATCGCATCTTTTATTCTACAAGTGAAGCCAGTCTATGATGAAAGACCGAGAATCATTATGTCACTGTCTTATCCTCATTAGGAATCATCAGCGGTGCGCATCTTACGAAGCTCCGGCAGAGAGTTTTGGAAAGAATCTCGGCCAATGGGTGAAAGACACAATGTTCAGCCATGAGTGGCTGATCAGCAGTGTGAATATTCCTCACTTATACACGACCTGGCGCCATCCTTACCCCAGTGTACGAATCCACATCACGTGGTCACGTGCTGACTAGCTGCTTGAGTTACAACTACTCAGATGGGAGTTTCAGTCACTGTATAATGCATTCTGCTTTCCAAGCAAGCTAATCTTGCTGATGATTGGCCGTTCGTCACAAGATAGTGTGGCCTTCATCCGCTAGTCATGAGGTCCCGGATTCGAGTTTCGTGAGATGCGCACTGCTGATGATTCTCAATGAGGATAAAACAGCCGTACAGTTCCTCTCGGTTTTTCAGGTTTTCACAGTCAGGATGAGATCTCACTTGAAAATTACAAAATCTCCTCACACTATGATCAATACGCACTGAAGGCATTGGATGGCTATTGATCAGTTTATGAGGAAAGTACTCAAGCTTGAGGGGGAATAGCTGCTTTCCTCAAGTTGGGTTTGCTCAAAAGCTTCCTGAAAGTTGAATTTGACAGTAAACACTGAATCATATAGTTGACTGGAAGGCCGCTACTGAGGGCTTCGATGAAGCTGGTCCACTTTGCAGCAAAGTTGACAGGTAAACAAGAAAAACGTAGTTCGCGTATTCAGGTATGCAAAAAAATGAAGAGGTCTGAAGCATTCCATATGCTATCCTATCCAACGTTAGGTCTGTCTACTCGTTTCCATTAGTGCTATCCAGTCAGACCATGGACTGTTTTTCCGTTGTAATCTCAGGTTGATATTCCTTCATCCATTACACATTTCCAAGTGTGGCTCACATAATGAGCCTCGTAGAAGTATGTTCAGTGGAAACTGACATACAAGAGTGAGATTCGATTACAGACCAGAACAGAATAGTGTGGGGATTCTGAAGCTTTGATTACGTACTTCACCGCATTAGATCAGGTCTCACTGGCTTGTATTTCTAAGAATAAGACCGTGGTTTTCCCATACTTGTGTAGAACAGTACAAAACAGACAATACCAGAATTCCCGAAGCACCGTAAACAAGAAATTCACTTGAATATTCTGTTAATTGCAAGCGAGTCTTCATTTTCGTTCAGGTCGAATTTTTTCGAGTTCAAACAATCAGCTGAATTGGCGATAGGAGATCTTATTAGGAGAAATTTAGGAACACCTTGCACATCTTCACAACACAAATGAGGATAGATTTTATGTGACGCATTCAGTTGAAGAATATCATACATTATAGATTTATTTCGTTCACCTGCCAGCCAAGGCTCTATTCACCCTTGGGTTTATTGTCATTGTAGATACTCTTTTTCGAACAGCTACTGACCTTTTAATAAGTAGCTAGATATTTCGAGATTTCTGTCATGACACTGTCCACAGGTGCTGAAACGATGCAGCCAGATATCGATGACTATCGTGATTTTCCCAGTTGTGGTTGATCTCTGAGACTTGTGTCACGTACACATGAACCCGAATTAATTTTGATCGAAAGCATGCTGAACAAGATCAGTCTTAAGTGATCATGTCGCCGGCAGATCACATGCCTGAGACAAGGGAAACATCTTTTCATGGCCCGAATAAAGAAAGAACTTTTTGAATGGAGTCGCGGCAAAGAGAAGATTACCAACGAAAAGTGGCTTGGTGGATTTGAATATTCCGCATTTGACCACTGATATGAGCCTAGATGTTGACTATTTTATGGCTTTAAGTATATGTGAATAAACTTGGCGGTTGTCCGACAGTGAAGACCCAAAGACAACATCAGTGTTGTTGTCTCTGATGGTGATGACGATGATGATGGCAATTGTGAACCACATTGATGCCTGTTTCTTTGCGTAACTCTGAGAGATTGTATTAGGAGAACCAGCTCCGAACGTAACGGGGCTATATAACAGCCAATGGAATAACCGTTTTTGTTGAGGGAAATATTTCATTGGTTATCCTTCACTCGTCCTTGACAGATGAGTTGCGTTGTTAGAATCAGTTGTTTTGACCTGCTTGTACACGACAGCGATCAACAGATCGGCCGGCTCGCACGTTCATTGACTTTTTCTGGTTTGGTCAAGCGCACCAGGCGATCAGGCGGCTATCCAGTCCGAGGTTCACGGTAATAAGAAGGCATTAAGCAGACAGTGGTCCTCAACTGTGGTCCCACATTATTTGGACGGATGTGTCACGTGCAGGACACGGACCAAACGAAGGCATGCCCTGATTGGTCAGAATGCCAGCCAATCCGAGTCAAGTACCTGTGACTCGGCGCTTCTCGCCCCCTCACGGAGATTCTGATACGACCTTGTGGAACACTCTGTGACTACCCTATAAATACAGTTGTAATAACTTTCCTTTGTCTACATAAAGGAATGTGTAAAGCTACCGTGCCTTTTGATATATCCTATTGAGCGGAGCAGGAAGCTAAGGACCGATGCAAAGTTGCACTACCGTTCATCGAATCACAACAGATTGAAAAGCAATCGAAATATTTGCAGTTCTTTGAACACAACCTTTCTCAAATGGTATATATTCCTTGATAAATCGATGAAGATCACGACCCAACACCGGGGTTTCTACCATTTTTGCAACGTGCAGGAGCTATAACTAAGGTGTCTGGAGTTACGCTATTGAATGAAATTGACTAAACAATGTATAAGCTATATATCAGCGAAACTTACCCAGTTTCAGGTTCATGGGATACTTCGATCGGAACGACGACATTCTAAACGGCAGAGAAAATCGATGAGTGTCACCCAAATATTTGGAGAAATGGACAGAATGCGAACAAAAAGGTAACCTATACATTCTACGGCCTGATTCAGAGACATTTGTGAGCGAGGTATGACGAAACTGTGCCATCATGTGTAGGAGGTCGGCTGACTGTACAATGGTTTCAATACCTGTGCCAACCACCTCGTTAGTTTGTGCTCGGAGGAATTCGCCGTCGAAAAGATTGGTCTGGGAGCGCCATAGATTTACAGCATTTGTGTCTTCGTTGGCCTCAGAAAGCTAGCAGTGGTTTCGGTAATCAATCCACCTTGCAGCAGGGCCTGTAAGGCTTTGGACAACCTCCTTTCCAGTGTAACTGGATTACTCATAACAGTGTAGCTCAAGAATTGCTCGATCATTTGGAATCTGTTCTGAGTGGTCAACTTTGTACACGTGACCTTCTGTCTTGCGAAAATATGACGGATTGTCACGTGATTTGTTTTTTTAAAAGCCTTGCTTTCAGCCGTGACACACCGTCATCGGAGTTGAGTTTTAGGCGAGATAGTTGGAAGGAATAATAACCGCTTTTTGGACGGAATGCAAAATTTTTGGACCCGGCTTGATAGACACCCAGCTGAACCGGCGATAGATCGGTTATGTTTCTGAGAGAGGTTGTGATCGGACGAGTTTACAAGCTGTTGACGCAGAAATTCATACACATTACTCAGCAAGCCTATGACGGCCCTTTTGCCCGTGTTGGAGTCACGGTCACCAACAAAACTAAAAGCCAGCTTCCGCAAAGACAGGCAAAACACATCGCGACGTCGATAAAGCAGCACGTATGTTGATCCGCCCCATTCAGCCCAAATACAATTTCGTATCGTGTATACAACGATACACGCCTTATCGATAGTCCGTCACGTGCCTGAGACTATGCGTTGGGTAACTGACTGCGTTTCATATCCCTCTCAGAACCACTAGCGGTAAGGTGCTACAGTTTGTTGCATCAGAACATGCTGAAAAGCATTAATCGATCGTGTCGTTGACTTGTTTTTGGACGAGTATTGTTTATTGATCTGTAGTATTGCTCAGTAGTACACACACTCGATGGAATACAACAGTTTGTTTGCTTTCAACCGAAGGGTTCTTGTCCCAGTTACAAGATCTATTGTTGTCATCATACGCAGGTGTCAAAGTGGCACCTAGGGAGGACAATAAAAACGTCTGAAAATGTAAAGCAAAGTGGTGGCATCCCGGTTAGTTTCACCTGAGGCCACTTAAAGAATGGAGAATTCTTCATTGTCCCTGCTGAAATCAAGGTTACTTGGGGATGAGTGGTCTTACAGTGGTAAAAAATATCAGTGGAATAGTTACATCGATATCTATCTAAATTTCCCTTCGTTTTTGTCAAAAATTCGTTAACTGTTTATAAGTAGTAGCAACCAGTGGTTAGGGGCGCAAAAGTTGTGGCCAGAAAGTTCGAAACCGATCACGGCATCTTCACCGGCCTGGCCGAAACGTGGGAAACCAGGTAGTATCTCAGTGGTCATAATTTTTTTGGGTGATGGCGAAAAGTTGTTACAGATAAACGACTGTTTTTTTCTATTCATATCAGCGTTTTTCATAGAGCGTTACTACAAGCGTCTCTGGGTATCTGGAAATCAGGAATTCGGGGCTTACACAAGGCCCCCTTAATCAGTGTTCAAGACCAGTAATGATCCGACCCAATCATGGAAGATATAAGTTGCGATGACAGCGATTTAATCTACTTTGAATGGAGGAACATTGTTCGGAGATTGATGTAAGTTTGAAGTGGAGCAGACTAGGTGGTTCCGAAAAACACAGTAATGCTTTGCCTCTTGAACAATTGTGAGATATCACGTCATTGGTTGTTGATCAGATAGCCGGGCTTGGCAGCTGACTTGCAAACATTTCGTCACCATGCGGGGAGGCATCATCAGTGCGCACTTGGGTGGGTACGTTCTGTTTGCCTGCGTGCGTTTATATAGCATTTAGAAGCTATCTGTTATCCCCTAACGTGATTGGTTAGTTGGCTGTCAGCGGTTTTTCGTGCATTGATAGGCCCGTTTGTGATCTCTGCTGCGTTGTGGTTTGCGTTCCCTCGAGTCGATTGGTCATTCCGAAGACTTCTATTTTCGGTGGCTTCGTCCCCGTTTCAACTGACCTATTCCCCCATTTGTATTGTGTTGTAATACAATTTTTCCTTTTCAATAAACTCAATAAACCCAATAAACTCACCTGAGCTACCAATATTTCGACACATTACCGACATCACGTCAGCTTCGAAATTCCGCATGATCAAATTGGAGGGTGAAGTTTGTCGATAAATTTAACACAGGAACACCTGACCTCAAAAGTTGGTTCTGAGTACGGTGTTTGAATGTTCTTATTTCATTACCCGTTTATTTTTTCATTTAATAATAATATTACGTCAAGGCAGTAGAATTTTTATATGGAAGGATATCGAAAAAAACACCTCTCCCCTATTCCCTCATTGTGATGAGAAACTTACCTTTGGCACGCTGCCACGTTCGCCAGCACACGATCCCATTGGTAGCTTTCGCGCCGAGCTTCTGATTGACTCATCGTGACGGTTGACCTTGGACACGGTTGCCCCAATAGCAGTAAAGTCTGGTTCGTGAGCGTAATTCGTATTCTGTGCTGAGGTATTGATTTCTTCGCCAAACGGCTGGCTTGGGTCTCGACGAAAATCGGTCGTGTCTTCCAGCACGGTTATTGATCCAAACAGTGGATTGTCCACCGCGCAATTCATGACGTTAGTTGGAGATCGTGGTCTTCCGTTAGTCACGGGTTTTTGTGGAATCGAAAACGACAAGGTTGTACGCACAGATGCCGTCCGTTCGATCTCTTCCAGTTTCGCCGATGTTGGCGTGGATTTCTGCGGTGCAACTTGTGATTTTTGGCGTTTGGAAACGATGAACTCGTAGGTTGTCATTTTTCTGGCGACTGATATAACGCGTTAAGCGATGCAAACGTGAGATATCAAAGTAACCAATCCCCACCGCATTTTTATGTGAGTAGTATGTGACGGTTTCTCAAAATCAGCAGAGAAATCATTACTGGTTCCATCTGTTCAAGATTCACAAAGTAGGCGTAGGTCCCGTAATCTTAGGTTATCTACCTCTGAATTGATAGGCGATTTTGTCGACAGTTTGGTTTGAAGGTCTAGCGTATGTTGAAAGTGGGGTCTTTCATACTGATATCCTGCATAAAGTGCAGTGTTAGCATGCTAAAATAAACGTCTAAAATCCAAGGCGTGGGCATGAGGACATCCCCGGTTATGATTTAAAGAAAGCAATTGTACCCTAACTCGATAACTGGGGATGAGGAAACTGCTCGAATGTATTGAACTAGCCCGTTGGTATTTCACGAGGCATCCGCAAGGCGGAACCATTCGTGGGCTGTCGACGGGTTTTCAGCAACCTTATGAGTAGCGCGTTACGAGTATACATGTATCGCACTATCTCGAATATCGTAGCGACTGAAACTTGAGGCGGCCTGGTGCAGCACATTCAGCAGTTGCCTGGAAACATCACAAACGAGAGATTCAGCTGTGTTCCAGGTGAGTCTCTCGCAAAACCAAATTTGTTTGAGTGTATTTCGCTAAAAACACACTTAGTTATTCCCGTCAAGTGTGACTGCTCATATAATGAAAACGGCAAAATATAGTCAACTCTCTTCTGTTGGGTTAAAGGCCCTATTACCAGCAGCTCACTGTTTTTTGTCAACTGAACACAGAAATTGAATCAGCTCGAAAAAACAAGTAGTTACGTGCAGTCTTTTGCGCAGATTGCAACAGAAAACCAAATTCGGGCCACAATAATCGATTAAAGTCAAGGGCGAAATCCTCAACTGGCTACTTATCTGTTACCAAGCCAGCGGCACACAAAAGACACGGTGAATAAAACTGTGGCCAGTCAGAGACTTGGAGACTTCCCAGTTGGGCTGATTGTAGAAGTCAGGTCTCATAACCGTATGACAAAACAGCCCGCACTATGACCTGATATACACGTCACTTGAGATTCACGGATATACCGCTTTGATGTCATAGGTGTCTAAAATTGGCAAACGTGGCCCGAGCATTGCAGATTCGTGCATTTACCTCATCTGTCACACTACAGTCAGAACTAATACAACTTCCAAGATACGTAAAACGCTTGACAACTTCCAGTAACTCTCCCTGGATCGTAAGTGATACGTTCAGTGACTGCACGTCCACGAGTATGACCATACACTTTGTGGGCGCAAAGTGCATACCAGAGGACTTTGGTCAGTTCATCCAAAACACCTGCACCTTCTCCTCCATTTCGAAGATGTGAACAATGTCGTCTGCGTACTCCTGATCGACAAGGTTTTCTTCAATAGCTATTTGAATGTCAGTGTTTCAAGGACCTACTAGCGTTTAGCTCATTATACCGTCCATAACGATGTGAAATCTGGTACAACGTCCCTGTGCAGGTTTACGATCTGCTTGAACTTTCCCTGGATGTGAGTTCCCCACAGGTTTCCAGTTTTTAATGCCTCGGTGAGGAACATGACTGAAGAGATTCGGCGTTCACAAATTCACCACAGTTGAGGCCAGTCAGTGAGCACTACTCATCGTCTTTATCATCATCGTCGACATCGTGACATTAGTGTTCAACACCGACGCTCCGCTGTCGTACAACCCTGACTTATTATGAAGAAAAGAATGAAAGTGGATGGGGAAGGGACTTAGTGCTAGCTTACCACAATCATTCCGAGGAGCCTACACCTCCAAACACTCAGTCAGACAATCTGGATAGAAACTGGCAACAAGAACGCTACTGAGATCGGTTGGCAGCCATATACTTCAGTGCCTTCAATCAGGCGCATTGGGGATCATGTGGTCCCAATCTTGGAAGGCGAGTAGCACAGAAAGCACCCGAACGTTTCGTGATCTCTTTCATACCCTTGGGCGGGAGTTGGCGGTCTCTCTGTGTTGGGCATGGAAAACAGCACTCTCTTCGGCAATCGATGGTTCGGCATACGCAACGTGCTACGTTTCAAGGTCACTGGGTAAACCAATCCATCCCGGCATTTCCTCAAGTTTTATACATCTCACATGGCCGACACAAACAGAAGTTTCTAGAAACCCCTGTCGTCGCAAGTTGGTTTTCGATCGCCGCCCAGCCAGAATGTGGATAACGTGTTCGACCTCCAGATAGCTCAGTGGTTTTGGACCCGAATTTACTAACCAGAAGGTGCGTGGTTCGAAACCAACCCCGAAATCTTGACTTCCCCTGTCCAGGCTAGGGCACCGTGGCAGTATCCCAGCCCTCGAGCTTCTTTCCGGCGACATGGCAGTCGAATAGCAAGAAGGCACTTCAGTTAGTGTGAGCTGCGGAACAGATCTTCTGCGGTGAGGATTCTATGGAACGGAAGGTGAGCTGACCACAGTCCATTGATTGCGCGGTTTCGGTCACCTGATGCGCATGCCAGCTGACCTCATTTCTCTGAGAATTCTTCGCGGGCGAATTGCAGAGGGTAAAAGCAATGTGGGCAGATAGAATTTGGTAGTGGAGTGTGAAGGCCATTACTAACAAATCCAACTACGTTTCTTCCCGGGGGGGGGGCTCAGGAAGTGACACATTGAAGAAAATCCTGGTTGGACACTGTACAGAGGCCAGCCCTCCCTAATAACCGAACATTACATCATTTGGACGGATGTATCACGTGCAGGACACGGGCCAAACGAAGACGCCCTGATTGATCAGAATGCCAGCCAATCCGAGTCAAGCACCTGTGACTCGACGCTTCTCTCTCCCTCACGGAGATTCTGGCACGACCTTGTGGAGCACTCTGTGACTACCCTATAAATACAGTTGTAATAACTTTCCTTTGTCTCCAAAAAGGGCTGTCTAGAGCTACCGTACCTTTTGATATACCATAGTGGGCGGAGCAGGAAGCCAAGGGACCGATACAGAATTGCACTACCGTTCTGCAAGACACAACAGAGACGCTGTACGGTATGACTGCTAAACGATGTCAGCGGCGTTCTTGTTATCAGTTTCTATCCAGATTTTCTGGAAGCGTGAGAACCTTGGACTGATTGTAGTAAGCGTGCGATAAAATCCTTTCCCATCCACCTTTATTGTTTTCTTTACAATGAGGCTTTCAAATGGCTGTATGATACGAAACATCCAACTGATGTGATTTCCACGATCACCAAGGAAATCTTGATTGACATCCAGCAATGAATTCCCCTGAAAAGTGCTTGATTTCGTTTATTGCTGAAATGAAATGCATTTTTTTCATGAATGGCGCCTTCACTCAACTGTTCTATAATTACTTACAAAGCATGAATGTTGTACAAAGCCACTTTTCGATTGGAACAGCTCTGAACGAAATTGATCAACGCTGGACTTCTGTTGTCCCAACTCGGGGAAAAAAATCAATGCATGCTGTATACTCGTTCGCTTGGTTTGCAAAGCACATGGGTGTGGCTAACTAGAATCCATCCATCGAGCTAACTGGGATGAAACAAAGGCAACTGGGTTTGAAAACAGTTTTCGTACGCATACGTTCACGTCAGAATTGGAGCTTACTGTCCAAAGATGGGCAGAGTAAACGCTTACAAACGGAGTGGTTTACCTCATTACCAAAATATAAAAAAGTGTAGTATTGTGTATGACAAGTGTACAACTTTTGTTGTATTCGCGTTGCTTTTTCATGCCAAATTTGCCGCATTGGAAATGATCCTATCGTTCTACAACCTCGTTTCTACCTCGTTCGTAGAAGAGACGCTTTGAAGCAAGGCTGTTCACCAAACAGGATTCTCTGCTTACGAAAGGTGTAAGTAGTATCATTCATGCACTGTCAGATTCTTTCACACACGCACAACTATGTGGTATCTAAATCAGTTGAGGCATGCCGTAGAAGGGTAGCGAAAGATGAGCACGTGAGCATTGTTTTCGCGGTTATGGATAAGAGAAGGACGTGGGAAACCAGTTGGCCTAGAACGACCTGTGCGGCAGGACCGTACGCTGGACAGACAGGACCAAAAAAGAACCGTTATTCTCATAAAGGAAACTACTCACAAAATTGCTGAAAACTCTTCGACGGCCTAAGACCGGTTTCGCCCTTCTTGGGGCTCATCAGGTGGGCGCGCAGTCCCCGAGTTCCCGTCAACCTTATGTTCTGCTTGAACCCAAATTGGACTGTTTTTCAAGAAATACACTCAGTTACCGGGGCGAAACCGGTCGTTGGCTGTGGAAGAGTTTTCAGCAACCTTGTGAGTAGTGTCCTTTGCGAAAATATACTGCGATATTTCGTGCCAACTGAAACATGGGGCGGCCTGTGTGCGGTAATTTCAGTTGTAGAATATCATAAACGAGAGATTCATTTGGGCCTCTCGCGAAAAGCAAATTGATTTGCAAGTGAGTGTATTTCTCGAGAATGGTTATTTCTTAGAAATCGGTCTAGGAGCACCATACAGCTGTTTCAGCCCGAGGGGGAATAATCAGCAATACCCATCTCACCAAATTTCATGGTATTTTAAACCCTTGGCTGGTAGTTTAATCACAACCGTTCAGCTGCGAGCGGTCAGTCAACACGTGACCACGTGATTTAGATCACGCGATTGGCAGATGGAACGCGCTCTATCCAGCCAATCACAACGCTGATGCGGCACTGGTGGCCGGATGGCTGTGTTAAAACTATCAGTCTTGGGATACGCACTACTGATATGACACTACTCAACAGTAGTACAATTTCAGTTCCGTCAGTCATTTTTCGAAAAAAAATAACAGCCGATCTTCACAGAAACTCACATAGATATGCATGAAAAAATAGGAGATGTAGTAATAGAAGATCGGTAGCCAGAATCAGAAGGCCAATAGTGATCATCAAACCAACGTACACGTCCCCCGGAATGGGTTGATTGAATATCTTGAAAATTTCACCTGAAATAAGAAAGACATTAGAGTCCTAGAAATTAACAAAAGTTCACCCATGAAGGTTGCTTAAAACGTCTGTAAATGGAAAACAATGTGAGAGAGACCATCTTATTTAGTTATATTAGAATATCACGTGAACTAGAATTGGAAACTACCTGTGTAACGTGTATACTACTGATGAAATATGTGAGTAGCCTCTGGTCAGATGTCATGGCGCGGAAATTGTGCACTGACTGGCCGTTGTGTCAGTGATCGACTTTCGCAGTGCGGGACATAGACGGGATGCAATAAGCCTCCATTCAACGTGAACAGACCCTTGATTTCACTCCACAGTTTGAGAATAAGGCAACTCTTGGCTCTCCTTGATTGACGCCTCTGTGTGAATCTCGACATACAGGACAGCGACCTGGTGAGATCAGTTTCTTGTAGGAAAATAACTAGGGCATTAGTTCTACTCTGGCACACACCATCCGTCGACATATTCGTCCATCGTACTCACCGTTATGCTCCGATCGATAATACCTCCCCGAGTTATTCCCATACTGATCAGGAATTTATCAAAACGGCTGTCGGCATTTCGGTGCCCTGCCTTCTTACCATCTTCAGAATTCCAAACGAGAAACTATTATATTTGATTTTTGGAATGACAATGGCTCACTGGTTTAATATATTTGGGTTTTACTGTCGGATGGTTACTTTTGTCTCCAATGAACTCCAGACAGCACAGTGGTCAAGAAACTATGTTACAGACCGGAAGCCTCGTAGTTCGAACCCGACCCCGATATCTTAATTGCTCCTGTCTGGACTTAGACAGCATAACAATATTTCAGCACTTGTGTTTCCTTCGAGTGGATTGACAGCTGAGCACCAAAAGCGTGTTACTGAGGGAAAAAATTTATCCAATGAAATCTAATTCAATTAGATGTTTCTTTACCAATCCATCAATCACTAATAAAGCGTATCTGTTTTGATAGCTTACTTAGTATATTTCAGTAGTGCATAAGTGATATATGACCAAAGGAAAAGTCAAATTAATTGTCCAAATACTGTGACATTCTTTGAACCGACTTCGTTTGCTGGTCCACAGCCCTTCACCTGGGTCACGCATGTAAACACTGGTTGTCTCAAAATGAGAATCAGAACAGAAGCCAAGTCACTCAGGAGTAAGCAACAAACCAGTTGTTTTCTTGGGGGCACACACCACCCAGAAAGTTGCTGAAAGCGCTCTGACAGTCCAAGATCGATTTTCTGATTCGTGCGGCCCATCAAATAGGCCCAGTCCCAGAGTTTCCGTTGACATTATGTCCTATTTGAACCCAATTTGAACTGATTAAAACAAATACACTGATTCGGTATTGACGGGAGACTCAAATGAATCTCTTGTTTAAATGGGGAAGGTGTGTAACGGTGGACACTACTAATGGGAGCATGTGAGTAGTATGTGTTCCCTTAAATCCGCTTCGCGTCTCTTGCGTCTCTTACGGAATTTCTGGAATTGGATTTGAGCAACAGTCAATCAATATCCAGGAAAGTTCAGGAAGACGCGTCCAAGGAGAAGATGGATATTCAGTTTTTGTAGACAAGATGCATATGAGAGTTTTGCTTCCCTGTCCAATAGTCTGTAACTGTTCAGTTGACATTTTCTAATAAATAACTCCACAGCGAAGGCCTTCTTCCTTTCACCTTCCCACCTTTAACTAAATGCGCTGCACAAAGGCCACCCCATGTTCCAGCTGGTACGAAATTCGAGGTATTGGAGTATATTTTCACAGGGAACAAAGTCCATAAGTTTGCTGAAAACTCTTCGACAGCCCTTGATCGACATTCAGCCTCTTGGGCCTGATTAGATGGGTGCAGTCTCAAGGT